TTGCCCATTTTTGTCAAAAAAATTGCATGCATAGCCTTATGGAGGCTTATAGAGTGCTGCTAGGGGGGGGGGGGGGCAAAAAACGGTCTTTTTCTTGCTCATTTCTGCCCTCCCCAGCCCGCAGGAGCTCTCTGAAAGTCTTCATAAGAGTATGCATGGCCATTTTGGTGAAGGGGCGGGGCTTTGGGAGTCAAAAAATGCTGTATTTGGTGTACAAGATGCACCCAAATTTTCAGCCTTTTTTTTTTTTTTTGAGGAAAAGGGGTGCGTCTCATACTCCGAAAAATACAGTATGTCATTTTTCTCAGTGCTGTTGTAACTTTGAGCAGTCACTAAATGAAAGGTTGTAAGTCAAGGAGTATCTGTATACACAACTTTTTAGCCACTAATTTAAACCTACATGAAATAATGAAAAATGCAACTTATATTGATCAATTTGTATCACAGATGGGGGTTAGAATTTATCCTGAAACTTCTGTTTTTTGATATCATCTTATAACCTCTTTTGTTTCAAACTATGAATAGAATTGAATCAACCATGTTTCTTAGCGTGTAGCAATTCCTGCCATGTTACAAAAAGCGTAGGTTTCCTAAAATACCTAAATGTTGCATGTTAACATGAAAATTCCACTATGGTACACAATAGCTCAGTTCACATATCACATTAAGACATAATAGTGTTTCTTACTTTGATAAGATCATTGTGGTTTATAAACAATGCATTATGATTTAACCTTAGTTTAGCTAACTATGACATTAAATAAATGATTGGAAGACAACCTATCCAGCATCTGCTTTGCTAGTAATGGGAATTAATGAATAGATAAGAGCAGTATTAATTAGCTAGTGAAAAATCAACACAGAACTTCTGTCATGTCCTTCAAATATTATTACAGATTCCAAGACAGTAAGGTTGAGAGTTAGAATCCATAATATATCTTAATAAGTACTTTAAAAAGTGGAAATATCTTCCTTTCTTCTAATAGATGCACAAAGAAAATTATCTTTTTAGTGAGCGGGAATATTAGAAAACCACCAGTCAGGTTAAATTAGCAACGTTATTTAAAAAGAAGAGCCAACACCCATATTATACAAATCCGTTTGTCTCTCTTAACAAAACTCCTTTCACAAATTGTTCACATTTGATTGTATATTCAATCTTTTTATTTTTTATTTTCTAAAAAGAAATATCAAGTTGCTATGGAAATAAGACAAACAGAAAGCAGAAAAATAAATCAGAGGAATGGTAATTAACAGATTTGTCCAGGTTGAACTATGAAGGGAGAAAGCTGAAAGATAACCTGTGAATAATCATAGTGTCTTACCGATCCAGAGCAATGACAGGAAAGCTAAGGATGGTCACAGAGCAGAAGACTTTATGCAAGAATTTGATAATTTTGCAGAAGATCAGGGTATGGACCCACCCACAGCAGTGTGGACTGGTACTGAGAACAATGTCAAAAGGCACACAGACAAGGCTGGCACAGATCCCAGAACAAGCCAGGTTCTTAATAAATCGGTTTGTTGCTGACTTAAAAACTGATGTCCTGCATGTCGACCACAAGACCACAATGTTTCCTGGATGAAGAAAAACAAAAATCAAACTATGAGAATTAAGAAATACATGTGTAATGATACAGTTGCCTGCAATTCTTTCATTTTATTCAGCAAACAGCATTACAGATTAATTCAAACATAACTATATACCTTGCTGATATCTTTCTCAAACTAGGATCACATTTAATTCTGTAGATATTTACCCAGAATTAAGTGCTATTCATTGCTCACCCTGGTAAAGGGGTGGGTTTGTGTGGGCATTACTGCCGGTTCGGTGCGCACATGATTTGTGCGCTCCGTGTGCGTGCACAGTTGCCTGTAAATAGGTCTGCGCATGCACAGCACATTTAAAATGTCAAAAAAAAAAAAAAAACATGCCGCAGGGACCGGGGAACCGGTTCGGGGGCATGGCGAGCCTGACGTTCCTACTGGTTCTGCGACTACGTCACAATTTCCACTAGCGGTTCGCCCAGAGTCCCCATGTGTGAGATTGGCACCTTTGTGTGTGTGGGTGGGTGTGTGCGCGTGCGCATACATATACATGTAATATATACATGTGTATATATACATTTTTTCTCATGGTATATATATATATATATATACTAAATTGTGCATGTAGCAGTTATTTTCCCTGGATCATTTATGTACTACATTATATTACATGAA